GGTATTCGTAGTAGTAGAAGTAGAAGTGAAGTATGTCTAAGGACAAAAAAAATGAGCACTGCAGGAGAGCTACTGGCCCACAAGTGGTAGGACCAAAAACACAAGGGGGAAAAACTGAAGGACAGAACACACAAAGGCAGAAAAAAGGAAGTCAAAGCAAAAATAGAAAAGAAGAGGTAGAGAAAGAAGAAAAGATCAGGTCAAGTCACGAGTGTTCTGAAGTTTGGAACATTTGACAGTGTAATGAGAAAGGAAGGCATCTATAGAGACAAAACCAGGACTATGATTAATATTAGGAAAGTTGTGTATAAATGATGCTTCAAGAAGACCGCGTCTGTGAAGGCTAGAAGAAGGGTAGACAGTTTTAGCAGAGGACCAGTTAATAGGTGTCTTTATTGTTAGGTAAGACACATATGCAACAGTTAGGTATCTTTATTTCGAAACGTTTCGCCTACACAGTAGGCTTCTTCAGTCGAGTACAGAAAGGTTGATAGAAGCAGAAGATACTTGAAGACGATGTAATCAGTCCATCACCCTTAAAGTTTTGAGGTGGTCAGTCCCTCAGTCTGGAGAAGAGCATTGTTCCGTTGTCTGAAACAATATGAAGTTGAAGTGACAGAATGGGGCCTTTATATAGTGCCAGGAGGTGAGACGTAGGTTGCTTTGGGAGGACAGGTCCTTCTCAAACCCAGCCGTTCTCACTAGTAGAGGTTGTCGAAGTGGTCTGTACCAAGATACCCTTGTGTTGATGAGAGTAAGACACATACCCTTGTGTTGCAGTGTCTGACAGAATGAACATTAAAATGGTATGAAATACCGACAGATTGTTAGGTAAGACACATATGCAACAGTTAGGTATCTTTATTTCGAAACGTTTCGAAATAAAGATACCTAACTGTTGCATATGTGTCTTACCTAACAATCTGTCGGTATTTCATACCATTTTAATGTTCAGGTGTCTTTATTGTTGAAAAGACTCCGTTCCCATGCTTCAGCTTCACATCGTTCCAGACCATGGAGCTGAACTCTTCTCCAGGCTGAGGGACTGACCATCTTGTTCCAGACCATGGAGCTGAACTCTTCTCCAGGCTGAGGGACTGACCATCTTGTTCCAGACCATGGAGCTGAACTCTTCTCCAGGCTGAGGGACTGACCATCTTGTTCCAGACCATGGAACTGAACTCTTCTCCAGGCTGAGGGACTGACCATCTTGTTCCAGACCATGGAGCTGAACTCTTCTCCAGGCTGAGGGACTGACCATCTTGTTCCAGACCATGGAGCTGAACTCTTCTCCAGGCTGAGGGACTGACCATCTTGTTCCAGACCATGGAGCTGAACTCTTCTCCAGGCTGAGGAACTGACCATCTTGTTCCAGACCATGGAGCTGAACTCTTCTCCAGGCTGAGGGACTGACCATCTTGTTCCAGACCATGGAGCTGAACTCTTCTCCAGGCTGAGGGACTGACCATCTTGTTCCAGACCATGGAGCTGAACTCTTCTCCAGGCTGAGGGACTGACCATCTTGTTCCAGACCATAGAGCTGAACTCTTCTCCAGGCTGAGGGACTGACCATCTTGTTCCAGACCATGGAGCTGAACTCTTCTCCAGGCTGAGGGACTGACCATCTTGTTCCAGACCATGGAGCTGAACTCTTCTACCAGGCTGAGGGACTGACCATCTTGTTCCAGACCATAGAGCTGAACTCTTCTCCAGGCTGAGGGACTGACCATCTTGTTCCAGACCATGGAGCTGAACTCTTCTCCAGGCTGAGGGACTGACCATCTTGTTCCAGACCATGGAGCTGAACTCTTCTCCAGGCTGAGGGACTGACCATCTTGTTCCAGACCATGGAGCTGAACTCTTCTCCAGGCTGAGGGACTGACCATCTTGTTCCAGACCATGGAGCTGAACTCTCTCCAGGCTGAGGGACTGACCATCTTGTTCCAGACCATGGAGCTGAACTCTTCTCCAGGCTGAGGAACTGACCATCTTGTTCCAGACCATGGAGCTGAACTCTTCTCCAGGCTGAGGGACTGACCATCTTGTTCCAGACCATGGAGCTGAACTCTTCTCCAGGCTGAGGGACTGGCCATCTTGTTCCAGACCATGGAGCTGAACTCTTCTCCAGGCTGAGGGACTGGCCATCTTGTTCCAGACCATGGAGCTGAACTCTTTTCCAGGCTGAGGGACTGACCACCTCAAATATTTTTCTCCAAAGTCGATGGACAACTGCTGCACATGTCTCTTAATCTTCAATAGGATGACTGTGATCTCTAACATGACAGAAAAGAGCATTACTGGTGACAGCAAGTCTAACACTACTGTCTACCACTACTTCCACTTCTTTCTGCCTCTCTTGGTCCCGTCCCTTCTCCTCTCGCCCATATATACTGACTCCCTCACTCTCGTGTGTTAGTGTGACTTGTATATGGTCCAAGTCGGACCGAAAAGCTTCTCCTATGTACGGGTTGTGTATTTACCTACATACCTACTAACTCACCTACCTACCTACCCATCTACCTACCTACCAACTCATCTACCTACCTACCCATCCACCCATCTGCCTACCTACCCATCCACCCACCTATCTACCCGTCTACCTACCTATCTAATCACCTACCTACCCACCCACCTACCTATCTACCCATCTACCAATCCACCCACCTACCTACCAACCATCCATGTACCTACCCACGCACCAGCCTAGGTGCCGACCCATCCACCTACCTACCTACCCACCCACCAACACCCACCCACCCACATACCCTCCTACCTAGATACTACCTACCTACCCACCTACCGACCTACCTACCCACATACCTACCCACCTAGGTGAAGCATAGATTAACTAGGTGCGTGGAGGCTCCTCGGGGTTACGACACACTTTAACACAACACTGAATTAAGAGTCCACTTTGGTTAACATGATCCTCGTGTTAATATATTGCAAGTCAGATTACAGCGCTGACTCTGCCGCTGACTAATTCATTAGTCATTATAATTCACTGATAATGTCCATGTTTTACGGACTGTATATGCAGTGTCATTATTCTGGGTAGGTTGTATTCATGTAGTGAGTCAACAATGTTAGTAGACGAGATTTAACTACTGAACGAGCAAAGGTATTCACTAGCAGACATAGAAAATCTTGCTTCTTATCAGCTGACTTAAAGATACATGAGTGTATACATATAAATATACATATTAATGCACCTACATAATAAAGTGGTTTTTAAGCAAATAAAATACAACGACCAGCCGGGTTTAAGGGGCACGTAAGTATCCCCGTCTTTAAATTAACATGTTCATTTCTCCACTATCCATAATTACTATTGTATTTGTTTCGTAAGGTGAAGTCCAGGATCTTTCCTTAATTCATGGTATAACTTAACAAATCTTTGATGTCAATTGTGCTGGTAGATTATAGTGGAAAAATGAACATGTTATTAGTAGACTGGGGAACTTACGTGCCTCTTAAAGGCGTCTGGAGGTTAGCTTGGCTCCCAGGAGCCGGTCTAAATATCCTGGGTTCGGTTCCCAGCTGGTATGCGACATTTCCACTATGTTCTTCCCTAGAAAACAACCCACAATGCTCAACTAACAATATTTATTTCAATAAATTACTACTACTACTACTGCTACTGGTGCTGCTGCAGTTATTACTACTATTACTACTACTACTACTACTACTACTACTACTACTACTACAGCTGTTGTTGTTGTAGCTGCTGCTACTACTACCACTACAGCTATTACTACTGCTGCTCTTACTATTAGTAGTAGTGCAGCTATTATTACTACTATTACTACTACTACTAATACTATTACTACTAGTAAAACTATTGCTAATACTACTACATACTACCACAACTGCTACTGCAGCTATAATTATTACTGCTACTCCTGGTACTATTAATACTTCTACTAACATTGTTGCTACTACTACCACTGTTACTAGTATTATTTTTACTGCTACTACTACTACTACCACCACTACTGCTAGTAGTAGTTTCTGCTAATACTGCCACTGATATTATTATTACTATTACTACCAATACCTCTCCTACTACTTCTTCCACTACTACTACTACTATCACTACCATTATTAGTACTACTACTAATACTACTACTACTACTATCATTATCACTAGTAGTAGTAGTGGTACTACTATTACTACTAACAATATTAATCAGCCCAGCCTAGACAACAGGTATTTTTCTGGTACTGTTGGCAGTGTCTCTCGTGTGTGAATTGCGTTGTTGGGGTATTTCTGAGGTATGAAGAAAGGTAGGTAGGGAGAAGGAGGCCTGACTAAGCAGGGTGATGCATGCCCAGTGCCCCAGTGTGCCCAGATAATCCTCATACCCTGGGCATGAGACACTGGTTTCTCCAGAACACGCTGACCACTACGCAACACTTCATTACCCAACACGCGGCAACTCATTAATCATGCAACTCACTCCTCCGTCTCAGAGCGATAACATATGTGCATAAAAATAACTGATGGTTTTATTTATTGGTGTTTAGATTTATAAGTGTAGGTTGTGTGTATATATAAAGTACAGCGTTGGCGGCGCTGCTGCATCAATGAATCACAGAGTATTCTTGGCTCAGCTGCTACCACACACCCTACACTACACATATGAATGGATAATGCCTCTATTTTACCACTTTACTCTGTTTATACTTCAGCCATACCAGAGAAATATGTGTCAGAGAGCGTCGTCAGACTGCTCACCTCTCATGGTATCGTCGTTCTGATGACTTCCCACTTCCTCTTATATCAGAAAAAGTAACTGCATATTTACTCTAGGTGAGTCACACCGACCTTTAACACAACTAATCAACATTTCCCTAATTATATTGGACACTAAAAATGGAGATAGTCGAGTAGTGGGTGAAATTATGATAATATAAGTAGTGTTGTGTTGAGCGTAGATGTGGCAACGTGGTGGTGGTGGGGTAGTGTTGCCAACAGCTGTGTTGCAGCAGCACCACCAGCACCACCACTACCACTACTACCACCACTACCAGCACCACCAGCTGAGTGAGTTGAGTGTATGACTGCCTCAGTACGTACACAACCAGCGAGGTGTTCACACGTACTCGCTCGCGCTGTGCCACCCTCTTGAGTGCAATTTGAAACCCGTGACGGATTTATATAGGAGAGTGTCTTGTGTGCGGGATATCTAGTCAGCAACAGGGATTTTTATACACTTACGTGGAAGAAATATCATGTACAACAGTAAGTTACTTTCCTGTTATACTGTCTAGTTTACATTTTTTTGAAAGAAGGCATTAACCTTTTGTAACCCCCCCCCCAAAAAAAAAACACATGTAAAAGTTAATTGACTTATTGAAAATAAATTAATTGTTACAGTTATAATTATTCTTGTTTGATATTAATGTTGTAAATAAGTCACTATTGACTTTTTTGAGGAGTTATCCTAGGTAATTTACACACGTTACTATGTAAGACAACTGTAATCATCTAAGATTGTAAAATTATATTTAAATCAATTTACTTGTTCCTGAGTGATGACCGTGTTTGTAAACGAGTGATGTGATGTCTGGGATGCTGGGTATTTCTAGGATGCTGTGTATTGATGTTTGGGATGCTGTGTATGTATTTCTGGGATGCTGTGTATTGATGTTCGGGATGCTGTGTATTTATTTCTGGGATGTTGTGTATTTATTTCTGGGATGTTGTGTATTTATTTCTGGGATGCTGTGTATTTATTTCTGGGATGCTGTGTATTTCTGGGATGCTGTGTATTTCTGGGATGCTGTGTATTGATGTTTGGGATACTGTGTATTGATGTCTGGGATGCTGTGTATTGATGTCTGGGATGCTGTGTATTCATGTTTGGGATACTATGTATTGATGTCTGGGATGTATGTGTTGTCATGATTAATATCTATGATGTATTTTGATGATTGTGATTTGTAATGATGGTTATGATTGTGATGTGTAATGATTGATGTTTGTGGTGCATTACATCATTCATGCAAGAAATGCATGAGTGATGCAATGAGGGATCCCTTGTGTTTGAAATGCTGTGTAAGGAGTAACGTTTGTGATGTGTCAGTGAGTATACGAGCCCATATTGTAAACACTGTTATGAGTAGTGACATCACTTGGTGTGAGTGGTGACCCTAGTTGTTGATGCGAGTCGTAACCCTATTTAGTTGTTAGTGGTGACATCACTTGGTGTGAGCGGTGACACCAGGTGGTGGTGGTAGGTGTAGGTAGTAGTTGGTGGTAGGTGTGATTGTTACCCTAGTTGTTGGTGGTACGTGTGTTTGTGACCCTAGTTGTTGGTGGTAGGTGTGAATGGTGACCCTAGTTAATGGTGCTAGGTGTAAGTGGTGACCCTAGTTGTTGGTGGTAGGTGAGTGGTGACCCTATTTGGTGGTGTTAGGTGTGAGTTGCGACACTAGTTGTTGGTGTGAGTGGTGGCTTAATTGGTGCGAGTGGTGACACCAGTTGGTGTGAGTGGTGATGCTGTTAGCCAAGTTAACAGTGACTCGACGCTCAAACATTGGGAGGTGATGTCAGGCGTTGGTGCCACGTCTAACGTGACACACACACACAAGGTTCCTCACTGCACCCACAGGTTTCCTGTACCATCAGCAGGCTCTGTAACGTTCCTCTCTACATATAATACCTGGTGAAACAGTCAGGACCTTGCTTGGTCAGGCACAGGCAATTCCACATAAAGGGTTGCCTGTATTAAACACTGAACGAAAATATTTGCCATGAAACAGAAGATGCATGCCAATGTCGTCATGCTGGTGTTTTAGTTCTCAAGAGGTAAATTGTTAGACTAGTTTTAGAACTATCTAGTACTCTCATTTATGTAACCCATGTTTCGAGAAGCTACTGTACTTGGCCACAACGATTTTAGTCACGTAAATATTAAACTTCTAGTCTTTCGATTTACGTCTTTCGAATGTTAAAGATAAACCCCACGACAAAAAAAATGAAGTAAATAGAGGGTAAACATTAATTAATAATAATAAAATTAATAATAGGACTTCAGTGACTCGCTTTGTGAACTATTTGAGATGACAGTTGCCTCTAGCTAATATTCAGTGTTATAATGTTACATGCGAGTCTTGGCAGTGGTCAGCCCCCAGACGTCATACCTATTCAGCTCTGGGTTACATTCAGCTCCGTGGAACAATTAGGAAATTTTGTATGCAAGCCCAGAAATTGTATGACATTTATGAATGGGTATCGGAAGGACTTGCACTCCTTATAACGTGGCACTCTTGCTTGCTACTGGAAGACTTGTCAGCATAGTTGCTGATCCTTCTTTACATGTGTTGTATGTATAGATTAGCGGAGTATCATAGTACCATCTATGTGCTTTATATAGAAGATCCCTAGGCCTGTGACTATGACGTCACGAGATGCAGCATGAGTGAGTGAGAGGCGCTGCCTCGCTCTCACTCCACGGATAGACATACGACAGGCAAGCGGGCAGGCTGGGCCCCCCATCCCTTACCACAGTCTGACAATATATATCGTTACCATCCAACAAGTGTGTTTACCTTCGACCATCATATCTCCTTACGAACCCCCACGACAGACTGCCTTTCTGCCTCCCAGCCATCCAGGTTACCTTTCTGATGCCTCGTTCGAAATTAACGTTAGGTAGTATATTTAAATAACGCAAACTATGGACAAATAAGGTATATAAGACTGATAAAAAAAAAAAAAACTTAAAACTCGCCCAAAGTGGTCGGTCAAGCTACTTGACATTTTCTTCTTTTTCCTGTCAACCCACAACCTCCTCTGCTGACATCCCATGCCAGTCCTTCCCCTCCCTATTCTTGTCATTGATTTTGTGGCTTAATTCGTTGTATAACGATGGTCACACAGGGATTTTATGCACCAAATTATTTGAAGTATTCCGGAAAAAAGTGACTAAAAGTACATAAAACAGTGAACTTCTTCCGCCGTAAGACGCATTATCATAAAACCCATATTCGTACACACCAACTTAGCTCAAAGTCATTTTGTTTCGTATAATTCAACAGTATATTTACCAAAGCACATCTTATTCCTAGCGAATGTTACATTAAGTTAACTAAAGTGTGTGTGTGTGTGTGTGTGTGTGTGTGTGTGTGTGTGTGTGTGTGTGTGTGTGTGTGTGTGTGTGTGTGTGTGTGTGTTATATATATATATATATATATATATATATATATATATATATATATATATATATATATATATATATATATATATATATATATATATAATATATATATATCAAAACCACGAAGCAAGTGGTATTAGACTTAGCATTTTACATCAGAAATAGCCTTACTTGGAGAAACAATGTTAATATAGTTACACCTTGATCTATCAAGACTAGTTGGTTAAAATAAAATATATAACAGGTTACTAAACATGCTTTGTTTTATGAACGGGTAGAAAAGCCTTGACCATGTAGGAAATGCGACCTAGAAGCCAAGCAGTAAAATATGACACTCATATGCGTAATCGGAAGTGAGTAGTGAGTCAGGATCGCATCATGTCATTGTTGCAATGTGATATAATCGTCAGTATTAATTATAAAGTGTGAGTATGAGTGAGCAAGAACTTGTTAATGAACCAGGTCTGCCTGCCTGGAGGTCGTTCCGAGGGTCAACGCCCCCGCCGCCCGATACTTAACCAGGTTGATCAAGCCCCTTCAGGGATTGATCAACCTAGCTGTTACTACTGGCCGCACGCAATCCAACGTACGGGCAACAGCCCTGCTGATCGGGCACTGACTTTAGGTATCTGTCCAGTTTCTTCTTGGTCTGTTGGTAATTTCCTTTATGCATGGTGGGCCCCGGACACTGAGGGTACCCATGGCACTCCTACTTTTCATTGGGGGTATGTTTCACCGTCTGCTTAGTCTTTTGCTATCGTAGGGACTAATTTCTGTTTGTAGATTTGGGACCAGTCCCTCTAGGATTTTCCAGGTGTAAATTATGATTTATATTTTTCGCCTGCGTTCCAGGGAGTACACAGATCTGGGACTTCAGACAGTTCCATCAGTTAAGTGCTAACCCACAAATTAGACATTAAACTAGATTAGTGTCTCCTAAAAACCACCCTCTTTATTTGACCTGCTTTCTAGGTTCCTTTCCCTTTCTCACTCACTTCTTTAATGTCCAGGATAGGCAGAAACGTTTCATATTTCATTTCCAGTTTATGGGTTACATGTGGTTTAACCCAGCGAGTTCAATTATATTTAAATATATAGCCGATATTCCAGCATGAATTTCCCCGCAGCGAAGGGAAGGAGCATTGTCAAGACAAGACTGTGGGCTTTCCCACACCACAAGGCTGAGTCACTGACCGCCGTGGATTACTAACGCCTCACTCACTGTCCTCGCCATATGTCAGCCACTTCTATTGTCCCCTCCCCATCCCACGATATATATCACTGTGGGTAGGAAAGCTCTCAGAAGCCAGTTAATCACAATTCCTTGGTGTTCATGACGGCATAATTAATACTCTTATTCGGTTGTATTTGTTGCTAGAGGAACATAACAGTATACAGTACTGATATGATATCCCCTTACTGATGTTGCGTTATTATTTTGGGACATTGAACTTTGGGGTGGACTGGATAGACAACCTAAGGTCTTCATCCAGCGACCACAAATTCTACTGTATTGGTCATCATCTCGCGTCAGGAGGAATTTTCCAGTTTCCCCTGACGGACACAGTATTCCCCTCCCCTCCCCATCCCCTTCCGTGAGAATAATTGTTAATAAAGGAGATGCAGCGTTGGCTAAGGTTACAGTGGAGTAACTTCGGAGCACATGGAACGGCATGTAAACCACACTTCCGGCCAATGACGCATGTCAATCCATATTCGAACAAACTCTGGTTTGTGTTACTGTTAGCCTTTGTGTTTGTGACTGCCTTGCTTTTTAAGCTGAACCTGCTGACTAAGTTCTGTCAGTAAGCGTTGTTTTGTTAAAAAAAAAAATGAACGAATGTAAATTCATTGTCGCTATAATTTCGCTAAAACTAGTCAGTCATAAATTAAAACATTTCACTGATGTTAAATAATATTAATGAAAAAATAGGCTGACCTTTGATAAGATTTAATATATTAAGAGTGCCAACAATGTTAGGTAAATTGGATGACGTTTACGGTTGCTGTGTTTTGCTCACCATGAGTTTTGCTAAGCCAATACAAGCATGCTATGTAATGCATGGATATGGTAGTCTTCATGGTAGTAATTGCAGTAGTAGCAGCAGCAGCAGACTAGTAGTGATATGGATGTACGATCATATCAAGTGATGGAGCAACAATTCAATCATCATTTAACAAGATACCTTACTACTGTGTTTGTACTGCCAGTACTACTATACTGCCTTGAAGACTGTGCAGTCTTCTGCACTCCCTTCATATGGCCTGTGTCCATGCAGTGTATTGTTTGTACTCTCTTGGCCTTTAATGTGATGGGTAGGATGAAGCAGTAGGGTATAACGCTAATTGTAAAGGTTGGGTTGGCGCAAATTAAAAAAGAAACACCATACTGATTCACGTGATTATTTTATCAGAGGTGTACAAGATATTTATTTTTAAGATTGTTCTGTTTAGTAGCCACGACAGCTGTTAATATATGTATTCTCGTGAGTAGTGATAGTTATGTATAGTATAGGTATGTGGTATGATTGTGTATTTTTTGAAGGTGGTGGTGTGTTGCAGAAGGGTGATTTGTATTGCAGGGTGATGACTTATATTGCAATGCGGTGACTTATGTTGCAGGGTGGTGAGTGGTCATCATGCTAAGTGAAGGTCGTCGGGAGGGGCTTCGCTTGGCGCTGAACAGGTCGCTGAGTGAGCCTGGAGAGGCTAGTGCAGCCAGATGCCCAGTGTCACTGCCACAGCTGCTGGCGCCGCAGGTGCTCAGCATGCCCGCCTCACCCTGCGCAGACAGCTCCACCATCCAGCGCTCCATCCTACTCCGGCGCGCCCGCGCCCTCGAACCCGCGGAAGTGGCGCGCAAGCTCACCAAAACCAAACCCAGGAACTTCCTCCTCCTCGACCTGAGAACATTCATCAACTACAACATGCGGCATGTACGCAGCGCCATTAACCTCAACTGTTCGGACCGCTTCAACCGCAAACGGCTGCAGCTGCGACGAGCCTCTGTGGTGGACCTAGCGGCGTCCCCTTCAGGCCGCGACCTACTGAAGAAGCGGTGCTACAAGGAGATCATCGTCTACGATGACTCTAGCACCGACCTGGAAGCACTTCCTCCACACCACCCAGTCTACCTCGTTCTCACCGCTCTCCTCGAGGACAACAGAGAACCTCTCCTCCTCAAAGGTGAGTGTCTTGTATTATTATTACTTGTAGTGGCTGGTGTGGTAAGATTACAGCAAGTGGCAACAAGGTAAGTGGTGACGTATCTCTCTCCCTGACTACTGTATTATTGACTAGAACAAGACTGCCCAACGGAAGAAGCAATTAGAGAAGAATAGTGTGTTTGGGGAAGGGGGTTGTGTGTGTGAACAAGGCAGCGGAGGGGCTAACAATAACAGAGGCTCTCTCTCTCTCTCTCTCTCTCTCTCTCTCTCTCTCTCTCTCTCTCTCTCTCTCTCTCTCTCTCTCTCTCTCTCTCTCTCTCTCTCTCTCTCTCTCTCTCTCTCTCTCTCTCTCTCTCTCTCTCTCTCTCTCTCTCTCTCTCTCTCTCCTCTCTCTCTCCTCTCTCTCTCTCTCTCTCTCCCCTCCCCCCTGTTACACCTGTGCCTTTCCCGGTGCCGCACACGCACTCTTTCAGCACTTTCCCTTCCAAAGGCCGGGTTCTGTTTCAGTCAGTTGGATCAGTTTGAGAGTGCTGAGTTAGAGGTAGTCAGCTAGTTGTGCTGAGTGACTTGGTCAAAGTTGTCTAAGTGAGACACACACACAGCCTCTGTCACTTTATCATAGAATATTAATAGCCCAAGTTACTACAGCGCGATGCCTTGTTTATTTACACAGCTCACTCCAGTGTAAGATCAGCGAGTGTCAGTAGTTAATTTCTCCTAGTGGTACTGTAGTTAACATCCTTTAATACGTTAGTACTGGCAGTGTTTGTGTAGTCACACCCTCTCTTTCCTCAGATCAAACATGACTGATTTCCGTTCACCAAAGGTCGTTTCAACCTTATGTATTTAGCTCGTACCGATGATTGTGTGGTGGCAGCAGTAGTAGTAGTGGGAGTGTTGAAGATTACATCTTGTTGGTAACACGGTACCATTCACTTAGTGTGGGAATGTATTGGCTGGGTCCAGAGATTATCTTGAAATTCGTGGGGTGGTGCTAAACCCATGAACCATAAAGCACCTGGGGAATGGGAGGCAATAAGGGTCGATCCAAGGAAGGATAAAAATAAACACAAATACAATATAATGCGATCCTTTATTGACTACGTTTTGCCCACACATTAGGTTTATCAAGTCACAAACAGATCTACCTGGGTAAAGAGTACACGAGTATGTTTAGAAAGTTTATTCAGGTACAGGTACTCATAAATACCGTTAATAAATTATCATACATAGCATATGTGTAGATTATCTAGGGTAATCCAAAAAAAGTCAGTGACTTATTTCCACTGAGGTCTAAATGTTATGCTTGTTTGTCGGATCTTATATTGGTGAGCTGTTCCAGTATTGTATTATTATTTTTGAGTTGCTGTTGTATTGTATAATTACGATAAAGTTTGCAAATGAGTTTAGCGAGATTTATTGGGGAAGGGGCAGGTGTATAGAACAGGAAGCCAGGTTGGGGGCCTATTTGGTGGTGGTTGGGACTGGGTGGTGGTGTATGGAGGTCGGGGTGGTGGTAGTTGGGGACCCTTCGGTAGTAGGAAGGGATGGGGGATGCTAGTGATGGTGGAAGGAAATGGAGGGTGATGCGAGTGGTAGTGGAGGTAGGGGTGAGTGATGCTAGTGGTGGGAGGTAAAAGATTGTTAGGAGGGGGTAATTCTAGTGGTGGGACGGGGAGGTTGATGTGGGGGATAGGTGTTCGGAGCAGGAAATCATTCTTGAGTGGTGATGGTAGTAGTCGTGATGGTGAGAGACAGGGATGGGTGATGGTAGCGGTAGGGGGGTAAGGGTGGTAAGTGGTCGGGAGGAGGGTAGGTGTGTAGAGCAGGAAGCCATTCTTGGGTGGGTGATGGTTGGGGCGGGGGTACGACCTTGCCCAACTGCTGAGGTCCTCTCTGTTGTCAATCTTCCCTCCCTTCCCTAGCAGACACTAACCTGCCCTGTCTACTCCAACATTCTTCATCTCTCTTACCCTTATGCATAGCTAGCATCAGTAGAGGAAATAGGTGAAGACTGGGTGGAGAGGCGGGAGGTTGTGGTAGTGCCTACATACGAGGAAGCCCCACTCATCTGGCCTTGTAAAGGGATGGTGGATGGGAGCCAGGGTATCGGGGGACCTTCCTTCACTCTCCCTCCACTAACAGTTCTCAAGGGGACACACCAGGTGAACTCGTGGCGTTAAAGGTGATAGTAACTCCCAGAGACTGGTCGCAGCAAGGTGCCGGGGCGAGGCCACTCCGGGCTCTCACCTTGGTGATTCACCATCGCCATATACCATGGTAGACCCCAGGTAGACGCTGCTGTAACTGACGGAAGTGTGATGGAGGCACGTCGGCTCGTTGAGGGTACAAGACACGACTCTTCTGGAGAAACTAGACGGACTAGAGGGACGACGCATCCCTAGCAATATTTATAAATCCCTGAGGGCAGTGGTGTGGTCGGGGCTTGGTTGTGTAAACTGGTAGCAGGGCTGACAGCATACAAGGAAGAGGAAGATGTGTGAATGGCATCTGGAACGCGATAATCCCATGGCGCTCGTGATCCTACCTCACCCGCTCCTCCTTCCTGTTCCTCCTCAGTGTCGAGAAACACCAAGGAATCCTGTAGGATACATCTAACTTTTTCACTTTATTTTTAAACAAGTCAGACCTGAGACATGTGGCCGTCATGTAGGTATCATCAACACGCGAAACACCCGCATCAGCAGCGCATGCCACCACCAAAAGTTGATTGTCCCAAGTCACGTAAGAACTTTATCATGCACAGAGCTTAGAGGGGCCAGACTTGTCTCGAATACGATCGTGTGTGGGGGGGGGTATGGTTTGTGCTTGTAGGGATGTGGGTGTATACTTGCCAATATTTGATTGCAGGGGTCGAGTCTCGGCTTCTGACCCTGCCTTCTCTATGGTCGTTACGAAGTTTACTCCTGGCTTCGAGAGCCTTAGCGTACCCCTTCTTAAAGCTATGTATGGATCCTGCCTCTAACCACTTCATTCTCCAGGTCGTTCCACTTCCTGACTACTCTAAGGCTGAAGAAATAATTCCTTACGTTCCTGTTACTTCTCTGAGCTTTCAGCTTACAGCTTTGCCCTCGTGTTGCCGTTTCCCGTCTCTGTCTGTCCCTGTTCACACTATCAGTTCTCAGTATTTTGTACTTTATCAGCCCCTAGCCCTGTCCTTTAGTGACATTTGACCGACTTCTCATAGGACATACCCCTTAGCTATATGTCTGTCTACACACTCGGTGACAGAGACAAGACCTAAGTCGGGTGTTATGTTACTACCTAGGTATTGGCTCTTGTATTTTCCTTTCTCTTTTTCCTTACCTCCACCCTCCCACCCGAGGCTGGTTCCACAACCTCCCCCACCCAAAATTCCCGCGCATGAGCTCACCAACTCTAGAGGGAATGTAAAGACTGAGGCACTATCTTCCTTCCTTAATGTTTACCCAGGTGAGCGAGTACTTTTGAGGCTAAGGCGAGGCAGGCTGCAACTTAAGGAGAGAGTAGTTATGTATAGTGTTCACCGCTGAGAGAGAGAGGTGTGAGAAACACCTGGTGAAGTGGTGGTGTGAAAGACACGGATGGTTGCAGTCATGGTGCAGGTGGAACGGGAAGAGGGGGAGGAGGGAGGAACCATCTGTACCCGTCCCCTTGCGGCCTCCAGTACTGTCACGCACGCAAGTGAAACACCTCTTGCTAGCCAGACACGCCCTCCTCACTCGTGTTTCCTACTAGTTTTTTTTTCCTGAAGGGAGAACCGCATGGCTTCGTTTTAATAATTAAAATTTTTCACGAAGTGCAACGTCACTCATCCTGTGGGTGAACTATACAGACAGTATTGGGCAGTAGCTCACAGGATGAGTGAACGTACCAACCATACAGTTACTCATCCTGTGAGTGAATATGTCACTATAAAGAGAATATAACCTAGATAGCTGACATGTCATTAAGGCTACTAACTCCAACCTTGACTATTTTAATATTTAGGTATTAACATTTATCTGATTGTAGTAAATCCTGCATAGTTTTGTAAAATGCCGCCAGTCTTAGTTACATAGTGTTTATTATATTGTTCATAAATGTTAGTGGTATTAATTCTGTATTGATGTCACTTGTCCTGTTTCCTGACAAACCTTACCTAACCTGTATTGGTGGAATCTACTGTATTCTAAGATAGAGCGCCGGAGACGCATCTTCAGCACTCTGCCGGAGACTGTATCCCCCTCTTAGGTGCTTGACTAACCTGCCACCATCGTCTCTTCCCTTCGATTTCCACCTTTGTTTCTGAACGACTCAAACTATATTTTAATGTTGTGCAGATTTACTATAAGGCTGTTAAATTTACAAAAGCTATTGTTGCCGTGCTTTAATGTTAAATGTTTCTTAATAAGAGTAGGCGAGATTTGGTTAACATTATGAATTGGTTTGTTTAATATAGCAGACCTTTGATATATAAGCCTGTGTAGGCACGTCTGAAGCACCCATTTCCTCTTCTGGATTTAGAAAGCACTAAATTTAAACAAACTAACAATAGCTATTGCCAGATTACTATATTTCTTCCATTATATATTATATTTCCTGCATTATTAGACTGGCAAATGCGTGGGTGTGGAGGTGAGGTCAGGCTGTGAGTTAGTCTTTGGTCTTAGTCACACACTACCACACTCGCAAGACTTCCCCTTCCCCTCCCTCCCCTAACACTCTACACCCTTTATACCTTGCCACCCACACCCTTTTATACCCCTGCCACCCACACCGCACACCCTTCTATGCCCCACCATTCATACCCTCTATTGATAGAAGTAATATGTAGGCGGCAGATATCCTAGAGGGAATCCCGGATATACTCGGAAATGACACAACCTTTTGGGCATTTCTGGTGTTGGTAGTTCATGGTTATGACGTGGTAACTCCAGTACTGATGACCAATATTTTTATAGCAAGAGTGTGTGTTAAGGCCTTTTAATAATTTTTCTACCACACCCACATATTTTACCTCATTAAATCAGACGTCAT